CTATAAGCTCCTAGCTTAGCGTTGCCAAACAGAACCTTTTATATATGAATAAATCTCATATAGGGTATATTTTTATAACATATTTACCGTGCATCGCACGGGACAAATACTAGTAAATAAATATACAAATATATATAATACATACATATATACACATACATATATGTATATACATTAAAGTTTCATATTGAATGTATGGACATTGATTTTTTTTTTTCCTTCTTATTTGTGACTCCATTGTTCAAAATTAGTGGAAGAAAATGATAATGAGTTTTATAATTACTAAAATATTTGAATCTAATAGAATGATAACAAAATTAGACAAATAAACAAACATGGTAATTAATGAGTATCAAACCTATGGTAATGTAGTAAAGTACAAAAGTCCTAACCAAATGCTATTTGAGTGTATTACCACTAGCAAACATTTGACTAATTGAGAGGCGTTTGGCTGGAATTAGAGGTGTAAATAAGCCGAGCAGCTCGCGAGCCATATATATATATATATATATATATATATATATATATATATATATAATCGAGCTCGAACTCAAACTTGAGCTCGAGTTCGAACTCGAACAATCAAGCTGCTCGAGCCGAGCTCGAATAGCCCGAAAATTACCGAGCTCGAGCTCGAGCATCAGTTCTCGAGCTCGAACGAGCTCGAGCTGGAACTCGAGCCGAGCCTCCATTAACGAGCACGAGCACGAGCGTACCCAGGTTCGAGCTTGGCTCGGCTCGTTTACACCCCTAGCTGGAATATAGAAATTGGATTAATGGTAATTAGAATCAAATACTTGAAATGGTATACATAATGCTTAATCCTCTCAACATATATGCATGTTCCAGATATTGATGAGTGCAAAAATCCAGTGACGATGAAGTCATGTGAACAACAATGCATTAACTTTCCAGGTGGATTCAACTGTAGTTGTCTTGAAGGGTATTTTGGAGACGGTAGAAAAAGTGGTCAAGGTTGCATTCTCATCAATAAAAAGTCAGCAGCTTCTTCATGGTTTAAACTCTCTCTAGGTATGTAATGTATATTTAAAAATTACAGAGTAGATACACTGAAAAATATTAATTAAAGTACTAATAAATACTTAATAATCCATATAATACTAGTTACTAACCAAAAGATGGAAAAGTTATTTTATTATCTACTATATTCTTAATAATTATCTACAGGGATAGGATTGGGAAGTTTGGTCTTTGTTGCTCTAGCTACTTCACTATGCTATATCATCAAGAAAACAAATGATGCTAAAATGAGGCTCAAGTTCTTTGAACAAAATGGTGGCTATTTACTAGAGCAAAAGATCACCGATGGAGGCAGTGATGGTACAGGCGTAACCAAAATCTTCTCAGCAAAAGAGCTCAGGCAAGCTACCAATAACTTTGCTCAAGACATGATTCTGGGTCAAGGTGGAAACGGCATTGTATTTAAAGGAATCTTATTACCTAATAAACTCCAAGTTGCTGTTAAAAGATCAAAAACAGTAGATGACACCCAAATTGAGCAGTTCATTAATGAGGTGGCTATTCTTTCTCAAATCAATCATCGCCATGTTGTCAAATTCTTGGGGTGTTGCTTGGAAGCTGAAGTTCCTTTGCTAGTATATGAATATGTCTCTAATGGAACTTTGTATTACCATATCCACCGCGAAGCTGGTGGATCAGATTGGTTATCATGGGAAAATCGTCTGAGAATTGCAATTGAAGCTGCGGGTGCACTTGCTTATCTATACTCATCTGCATCCACACCTATAATCCACAGGGACGTTAAGTCCACCAACATATTGATTGACGAAAATTATACTGCAAAGATCGCGGATTTTGGGGCTTCTAGGTTAGTCCCTTTGGATCATACACGCGTGGCAACACTAGTCCAAGGAACCCTCGGTTATTTGGATCCCGAATACTTCCAAACGAGTTTATTGACAGAAAAGAGCGACGTATACAGTTTTGGAGTAGTCTTAGCCGAGCTTCTAACAGAAAGGAAACCTGTGTCTCCAAATATGAGCGAGGAGGACCGGAACTTATCATCATTTTTCGTTCGATCCTTGAATGAGAATCGCCTGTTTCAGATTATTGTCCCTAGACTGGTAAGGGAAGGGACACTGGACCAACTTCAAAGAATTGCAGAGCTTGTGAAAAGATGTCTTCAACTTAAGGGAGAAGATAGACCTCAAATGAAGGAAGTAGCCAGCGAGCTTGAACGCATAAGAAACTCTACTAAACTTTCTTGGACCGATGAGTCCTCTTGTCTTTTACCTGCAGAGGATGAATCGTTGGATCTTTATGCAGCTCCAATTAACCAGTAGTGGATGCTTCTTTAATTTGCATGTATTGCAACCATATGATAAGAACGAAAGGCTACTTGCTTACGTCTTTCCCGACAGTTATGTGATATTTCTAGCTTATTGTGTTTGTTAAGAATGCCCAGGATGATAATTCAATTCATATTTGACAATATTCTATCAAGTGTGATGGATCTTAAATTCTCAAGTAGAGCAACTCGAGAATAAATTACAAATATAAGCACTAGTTAGCGATATAACTAAATAAATCAAGCTAAGGAACATGTATGTATAATGCCAAAAGTACAGATATAATAGTGTAAAATTGAACTGTTTAACTCCTTTCCCTTCGAATCTTTTAACAATTGATATATAGTGCACTTTTTAAGAATTGACAATGCATTTTTAGATAATTTTTAAAATTATCAATAAAAAAAATTAAATTTTAAACCTAACTCGTAAATACTATACACTAAACAGTAAAAAGTGCATCGAAACCAAACATAAAATCAAAAAACTAAGTCATAAACTTTAAAATCCAAACTTTAAGTGCACTGCACTCTCATATTGTGCAAAGAACAATTTTTAATACTAGCAAATACTAATTTTAGTCCCACGAGTATTAGTAAAATGACAGTTTTGGTCCACATGTTTGATTTCTACCAATTTTCATCCAGACTATTGTTTTAGGGCTAATTTTCATCCAAGACTATTGTTTTAATACCAAAATTCATCACGCCGGTCACACATTCGTTTAAGACATGTCGAAATATGAAATTATTAAGGGTATCTTCATCTTTTTCAAATTAAGATCCCAATTTGAATATGAATAAAGAGATTTAAGCCCTAAGATCGATCCCAATTCGCAATTCTCCTCCTCAAATTAAGGTAGGATGAGGAAGAGAACTGCGAATTGAGATCGATCTTAGGGCTTAAATCTCTTTATTCATGCTCAAATTGGAATCTTAAGTTGAAAAGGACGAAAATACCCTTAAAATTTTTAGATTTCGGCATGTCTTAAACGGAGGGGTTACCAACGTGACGAATTTTGGCGCTAAAAAAATAGTCGTTGATGAAAATTGGTACTAAAACAATAGTCATGGATGAAAATTGGTTGGAATTAAACATGTGGACTAAAATTATCATTTTGCTAATACTCGTGAGACTAAAATTGGTATTTGCTCTTTTTAATACTATAGAATGTATTTTTTAATTTATTTTTATTGGAATAATTTCTCCATTTATATCAATAAAATAAAATAAAATCTTTTTTTTTTTTTAATTTGAGGAAACATATCTCCAAAAATACCAGTAAGCCAAACAGGACATGCATAAGATTTTATCGAAACCAACAAAAGCTTTAGAGCAGTGCGTGCGCAAATTATATCGTGCACCCCGGTGCACGATTGATCATGCACCACGCATCAAAACGACGCCGTTTTGTTTAAGAAAAATAAACAGAATTTTCGCAAAAAATAACTCTGTTCTTCAGTTTCATTTTGTATACACTGCAGTTTCAGTTCAACACAACTACAGTTTCATTTTGATATAACTACAGTTTCATTTAATATTTATACACTCAAATATGTGAAAATGTTATTTAATTTTATTTTATATACACTATATTTTAATTAAAACACAACTACATGATCATTTCAATATAATTACAGTTTCATTGTACAATATACACTCAAATATGTGAAATGTTATTCAGTTTCATTTTATATATACTGTAGTTTCATTTCACCACAACTACAGTATCATTTTGATATAACTGCAGTTTCATTTGATAATATAAAAATAATACGTGAGACAGTGTCGATTTAGACATACTGTAGTATCACTCCGTCATAACTGCAGAAACGGCACCGATTTGATGCGCGGTGCACAATATAACGACTGCAGTGCGTGTGGGAGGTGCCAGGAATTGACTTTGGGTTGACTCATCGATAGGCATTTACTGAAAAGCTAGCAAATTTCATACATGCACTCAGGCCTGTCTTCATTGACAATCCATATAGCAAATTTCATACAAAAAAAAAGACTGTTAAATGTGAATCTACCAAAAGTTAGTAGAAATTAACAAAAGCTGAGGAGCATAATGCACCAAAAAAAAGAAGAGATTGTTAAATGTGAAGCTACCAAAAGTTAGCAGAAATCAACAATGGCTTTTAGAAAGTAAATGAATTGAAGATAGCAGAAATCAACAGAATTAAAGCTTTCCGGAGGTGCGTATGGTAAGGGCAAAGTATACCATGTACCAAGGTCTATATTATATTATGGATACTAGTCTAAAAATGTCAAAGCCATATTTATATTATATTATTATGTGTCTGCTATTAACAAATTATGTATCTGCTATAAACAAACTAAAGACAAATAATATGTTAACGATAAGTATATACAAAGTAATTTATTAATTACATGTACATATTAACAGCATATACATAATAATTTAATTGTAACATGCACATAATTTATTTATTCATCTTACATAATACGTTAACATTGTGAACCTGGTCAATGGTATGAAAATGGCAGGAATTGACTTTGGGTAAACTCATCAATCGGCATTCACGGAAAAGCTCATAGATGCAGACCTCACTCAGGCCTACCTGTCTTCATCATCGCCTATCCATATAGCATATAAATACAATTTGATTGCCACCCAAACTTTCATCTATAGAATCGGTAATATTACATTTACATCTTCGATCAATAGTTATGGAAAAACTATCTGCCGGCCGTGTTGCAGAATGTTTATTAATGGTGGTGGTCTTCCTGTCAGCCTCCGCTATTGCCCAGACGACGACCATTGCTCGTCCAGGTTGCCCCACCCACTGCGGAAACTTGACGGTTCCATACCCATTCGGAATAGGAAGTGGATGTGCATTTGACTCCAAATTCGAGATACTCTGCGACACCCGTTCCAATCCACCCAACACAGTCCTCACTACCGGAGTGGAACAACCTATCTTAGTCTATGACATATCAGATAGGCATATATGGGTTCCCTACCCCAGAAGTTTAACCGTTTGCTACGACTCCAAAGGAGCATGGCGTCCTATGCCATTCCCTTTCAACTTTACTTCTCATACCATGTTGCTCCAAAGATATAATCACTACAGCTACTCCCGTGAAAACAAGTTCACCACTGTAGGCTGCGACGATACTCTGATCATATCCCACGGAACCAATTACGTTTCCAGATGCACTTCGCGCTGTTCTAATGCCTCTCAAGTGGTGCCGGTTAATGGGACCTGTTCCGGTATCGGCTGCTGCCAATTACCCTTACCAAAAGATTTGAGCAAGATGTACAACATTAGCATGGTCAGTGGCATGAACCACACCAAGGTCTGGTCCTTCAATCCCTGCGCCCACACCTTTTTTGGAGAGATGAGTCGGTTCAGATTGCTGGGCGCATCTGATTTGAGCAATCCTAATTTTCCACGGAGGGTTTTTGAGACTGCTCCGGTGGTTCTAGACTGGGCAATTGGAGACTTGAATTGCAAAGAAGCGCAGCGCATTACTGAATATGCATGCAAAGCAAATAGCCATTGCGTAGATTCGGACACGGGATTTGGAGGTTATCGTTGCATCTGCGATCACGGCTATCAAGGCAATCCATATCTGGGTTGCATAGGTGCGTAAATTAATTATTATAAGCTAACTTAAAATAAGCTATAGGCCATGTTTGTTAAAATAGTTAGTTTATCGGTCAATTTTGGCTTATTTGACCACTATTAATTGTTTGAGTTAGTTAAAAAATCAATAAAAGTGTTTGGTTAATTAATTTTTTATAACTCTAAAATACTAAAATTCAAAAAGTTGCTCAAAGTAACTTTTTCAATTAACTTTTTGAAAAAAAAGAAATTATACTAAACAGTTATCAGCAAACAGCTAATTTACCAAACAGCTTTCTACACTCAGCTAATGTTATCAACTAATTATACATTTTAATTAACCAAACCAGCTATCACCTAACAACCATTTACCAAACACCCCAAAATGACTATAATTCGTGTCAAA